CATCAAAAGACAGTTCACAGTGGCGAACACTCCTCAACAAAATGGAGTGGCAGAGCGGATGAACAGAACCTTGTTAGAAAGAACAAGAGCAATGTTGAGGGATGCAGGCCTAGAAAAATCATTCTGGGCAGAAGCAGTCAATACCGCCTGTTATTTGGGCAATCGAGCTGAAGACACCAATGGAGATGTGGACTGGAAAACCAGCTGATTATTCAAACCTCCATGTATTTGGAAGTATAGTGTACGTGATGTACAACTCCCAAGAAATTTTAAAGTTGGATCCAAAATCCAGGAAATGCAAATTCTTGGGGTATGCTGATGGAGTAAAGGGGTATTGCTTGTGGGATCCCACTGCCCGCAAAGTGATCATCAGTAGAGATGTTATATTTGTAGAAGATAAACTACAAATAAAAGAAGACGATGATAGCGCTGAAAAGTTAGAGACTACTCAGATACATGTGGAAAAAGAGTTTGAACAAGGAGATTCTTCTGAAACAGAACCAGCACATGATGAACAAGAACCAGAGAGTTCTGAAGCTCCAACAACTCGTCAAACAGATCGTGTGAGAAGAGGTCCTAATTGGCACTCAGATTATGTTATAGAAGGTAATATTGCATACTGCCTTTTAACAGAGGACGGTGAGCCATCGACATACTAGGAGGCAATAAACAACTTAGATGCTTCACTGTGGATGATGGCGATGCAAGAAGAAATTGAAGCCCTTCATAAAAATAATACATGGGACCTTGTGCCACTACCACAAGGAAGGAAGTCAATTGGTAACAAATGGGTCTTCAAAATCAAGCGAAATGATGACGATCAAGTTGAGAGGTATCGTGCAAGATTGGTGGTCAAAGGATATGCTCAAAAAGAAGGTATTGATTTCAATAAAATATTTTCTCCTGTGGTTCTACTAACAACAGTTCGAGTAGTTTTGGCAATGTGTGCTACATTGGACTTACATCTAGAGCAGCTAAATGTTAAAACAACTTTTCTTCATGTAAATCTTGAAGAAGAAATTTATATGCTCCAGCCTGAAGGTTTTGAAGAAAAAGAAAAGAAGAACTTGGTTTGCAGGTTGAACAAATCTCTGTATGATCTAAAGCAGGCGCCGAGGTGTTGGTATAAGAGATTTGATTCTTTCATTATGTGCCTTGGATACAAAAGACTTAATGCAGACCCTTGTGCTTATTTCAAGAGGTCTGGTGATAACAATTTTGTTATATTGCTGTTGTATGTGGATGACATGTTGGTTGCAGGACCCAACAAAGATCATATTGACGAATTGAAGGCACAATTGGCTAGGGAATTTGAAATGAAGGACTTGGGATCAGCAAACAAGATTCTAGGGATGCAAATTCACCGAGACAGAAGTAATAGGAAGATTTGGCTTTCACAAAAGAATTACTTAAAGAAGATCTTGTCACGATTCAACATGCAAGACTGTAAGCCAATTTCTACCCCTTTTCCTATTAGCTTCAAATTATCCTCCAGTACGAGTCCTATTAGTGAAGAAGAGAGGATGGAGATGTCTCGAGTACCGTATGCATCGGCAGTGGGAAGTTTAATGTTCGCTATGATATGCACAAGACCAGACATTGCACAAGCAGTGGGAGTGGTTAGTCGGTATATGGCGAATCCAGGCAAAGAGCATTGGAATACAGTAAAGAGGATCCTTAGATACATCAAATGGACCTCAAATATTGCATTATGTTACGGAGGATCAAACTTACTTATAAATGGGTATGTCGATTCTGACTATGCAGGGGATTTGGATAAAAGCAAATCTACTACAGGATATGTGTTCAAAGTTGCTGGTGGAGCTGTAAGCTGGGTTTCAAAATTGCAGTCAGTTGTGGCTACATCCACAACAGAAGCAGAATATGTAGCAGCTACACAAGCCAGTAAAGAAGCAATTTGGTTGAAAATGCTATTGGAGGAGCTTGGGCAAAATCAAGAGTATGTCTCTCTGTTTTGTGACAGTCAAAGAGCCTTGCATCTAGCAAGGAATCCAACATTTCATTCAAGGACAAAGCACATACGAGTTCAATACCATTTCATTCGTGAAAAGGTGGAAGAAGGGACGGTAGATATGCAGAAGATCCATACCAAAGACAACATAGCAGATTTCATGACGAAGGCGATAAATGCCGATAAATTTACTTGGTGTTGATCCTCCTGTGGTCTGTCAGAGACGTAAGCAACATGAAGGTACAAGGTAGAAAGAATGGTGTGAAGATATGATTGTTCCAATCAAATCTTCAAGTGGGAGATTATTGAAAAGTCAAGATAAGTGGCCAAATTAATGGCCAAACTATTTGGTGCAAATTGTTGGAAAAAAAATTGTTAGGCACCGAAAGTTTGGATTGAAAAACAATTCCACCTAAAATGTTGAAAATGTGGATGGTAAAACTATGCAATTAGTCATTTTAATTTAGGATATTTACAAATTAGTCCTTAAATCTTCAACTATAAATATCCTAGCTCATTTAGCTTCAAAACCATCCCAAAGCATTCTAGCTTTCTTCTAATACTAGAGAGAATTTAGAGAGTTTCTTGAGAGTTGTTTTCTCCTTTTTATCAAGAGATAATTATCATTGTTTTCTCCTTGGTAGATCGAGAGAAGTTGTAATTCCTATTTTCTCATAGTGAAATTCTTCTACCGTTGCCCGTGGTTTTTACCCTATATTATTCAGGGGTTTTCCACGTAAATTTTGTGTCTCTTTTATCTTCATTTTTATTTTCTCAAATTATCAGTTGCGATTTTACTCTATCCGATAGCCGTCTTTCGCAACAGCGCATGCATTGGTGGCTTATTTATAGCAGTTCATGGGTACTTGGTCTGATCATGTGCTCGAAATTTTAATTGACTCGTTGAATAGACTAAGCCAGCCTGTTCCATTGGCTGACCTATTAAATGTTTGTTTTTGTTCGGTTTTATGTAAAATTATTATGTTGATAAATTAATTAAAAAATCCATATATATTTAAATATTAAAAATAATATTATTAAAATATAATTATAAATTTAAACAATGAATCATAAAATAAATATGAATGATATATATATATATATATTTTAAAAAGTAAAAATAATATAAATTTAAACTTATTATCTATTAAAGTTTACTAAAACATATTATTGTTTATTTAAAATTCATTTTCTTCATAAAATATTATTTTCTTAAAATTGAATCCTTAAAAGTTTAACTGTATAACTCAATTTAATAATACTAAACAATCTATATTGTTTCCTATCTATTTCTTGCAAAAGATGACATCGATGTTAACTATATATACAGATATAAGATAAATAGTTAAATATAAATTGGATAGATGTCTGAATATTATGTTTAGATATACATATATTAAGGTGCTTTTGTTGAATTTGTTATAATTTTTTTGATTATTACGCTTGAATATTTTAATTTTCTTTTTTACTTTTTTCAAAATGATTGGCTAAAATTTGATATATTACTCGTTAATTTTTATATAAGTTGACTGATTTTGTTTGATTTTTTTAATCACCGAGTGTTTTAGGCTATCTATTTGACTGTTTAATTATGCACAAATTAAACTATCTAAGTGGTTAAAGGATAGTTGTTACCTTTAGAGATCTCAAGTTCAAGCATTAGAGACTGCGAAAACCTTAATAAAAAAATATTGTGAAAACCTTTGTAATCACCGTAGATTTATTCAAGCAATAATATATTTTTTATTAGCATTTTTGTGGTATTGATCATTTTTTAATAAACCCATACACATTGCATAGATAATGTTGTTAGAACCGAAATTATCTAAGAAAAATATGTCATCTTTGGTCACGAGGACCAATGTTAATTTAAATTAATATATGTTATAATTTGAGTTTTATGGGAAAAAAATAGTGGGATTTTGACTTCCAATATTTGATATTGAAAAAATGTTATAATTTCAGTTTTACGAAGAAGAGAATAGTTAAATATATATTGGATAGATGTCTGAATATTATGTTTAGATATACATATATTATGGCGCTTTTGTTGAATTTGTTAAAATTTATTTGATTATGTACGCTTGAATATATGAATTTTCTTTTTTACTTATTTCAAAAAGATAGACTAAAATTGGATATATTACTCTCTAATTTTTATATAAGTTGAATGATTTTGTTTTATTTTTTAATTATTGAGTGTTTTTGTCTATCTATTTAATTGTTTAATTATGCACGAACTAAGTTATCTAAGTAGTTAAAGGTTGGTTGTTATCCTTAGAGTCTCAAGTTCGAGCATCATAGACTGTGAAAATCTTTAGAACATATATATATATATATATATATATATATATATATATATATATATATATATATAGTTGATATGTGCTCATTATTATTATTGTTACAGTGGGTAATTAATTAAGAAAAATCATGTATTAATTTCATTAAGAAAAAGTATATATAATGTTTGATTTCTAAAAAAATAATTACAACATGTTGAATGTGCAATAATGTTTGAAGTAATATGAAAAGAAGTTATCATGAATTGAAAAGACCAATTTTGAAACATAAAAATATGTATTATAAAGGGCTAAGTCATAAAAGAACTTAGGTCCCAATAGACCGAAGGCGGTTGTTTGGTTTGAAGTTCTATTATTACAGTCGTTGAAAGTCGGCCAGGTTGCCCAAGACCCAGCAACAGTTTGGTCCATACCATAACATGAGAAGAGGTTTAATTTGTAACCCAAATGCTCAAGGCAAGTCCTTTTAAGTTTTAAAGATTAGACCTTATTTTCCTAGCTCTCCAAATCAGGTCTTTTCGATACGTACATGCAAAATCCATGCATATAAATGCAGAAGCATTCAAACTTTGAAGCAGCATGTTCTTTTGAAACCAATTTGCCTATCTCCTTGTTATGTCCTTTGCAAACATTTTTTTTTGGAGAACGTGGTTAAACTCTGTTGATCTGGTTATCATAATTGAATTCGACTAGTCCGTTGAATAAAATATAGATGGTTCGAACTATTTAACAAATTGATAAAATAAAAAATTGAACCAAAACCTGCTTCGAGTACATAGTAACGGTTCATAATCGTTTGAGTTTACGGGAAGTTTTAACTCGGTACAACAAACAGCTGTAGTAACGACAAAATGGACAGTTCCATGCAGCTCAAGCTAGAATTTCTGAATTACCACGGAATTGGCGAGGCCTGCTTGCTCGACGGTTTGGGTTGGATCAGTAAGAAGTTTAGGGGGGAATCCCATTAGCTGCAATTGATAATTGGTTGCACGCCCAGGTCCAGAGGCATTGATAAACGAACGGATGTCTTCAACGGTATTGCAGAAATTGAAGCGAGCGATCATGCGAGTCCCATCAGCCAACCTAAGCTGAATCGAGGTTGATGGTAAATTTTCATCTACAACCAGGCCAGGAGAAGGGCATGGAGCAGTGTTGAGAGGACCGGAACTGACGGTTGGATCAGGAGTTGCCGACATGCTGCTGCTACCAAGAGTTCTTCCGACACCCAGAAATGCTACCTGGCGCTTCTTCTCTGGTTCCTGCGAGCAGACAAACATAGGAGTGATATGCTCCAATGGACTTCAAGAACCGATTAGAAAGATGCATGTTTGAAGAAGGCACTTTCGATCACATTCTAAATTCTACAAGTTACTACCTTACGGACAAATATAATGGTAGTAAGAGAGAGATGCTCACAGGGTATTCCTCGTTCCTCCGTATTAGATTGACATGAACAGAAGACCTTTTATCAGCAGTCTCGAGTTCTTTAGGACACTCAGACTTCCGGATGCTCTGTACCAAGATTCAACCAGGTTGTTAATACAACTCATAAAGGTATTTCGAAGCATATCAATTGGTTCAGTCGTAAAATCATGAGTACATCCATCGCTTTATTTCTATTATTTGATTCTATTTCTTTCATTGGGTTAAGTCCTAATTTCCATTACCTCTAAGAAATGTGCATTTTCAGGATCATCCAACCTCCTCAGGGGGCCATCATTTACAGTGAAACCATTGATCCAGAAAACGATGTTGTGAATAACAGTCCGAGGCTGTTGAGGAGCAGAAGATACCGTTTCCCCCGAGAGTGATCTACCGGTTCCAGTAAAACTCGTTGAACTTGATGACAGATTAAGCTGATCGATAGGTCGCTCCACAGCTCCCAGTTGCCTAGCTTGATTGAAAATCTCATCAACCTCATTATTCTCTGATGGATCTTGAACAAGCATGCCACTGCAAAATTAAGAGTTATACCGATCGTCCTAAGCATTTTATCCTATAGAATTGCAGGGTTGGTGTTTTCTTCAGAAAAACACTTCGAGAAAGCTTAACATATCAAAGAAACGGTTTCATCAACGATAAATAAAATGACGAATGTTAAATATAAACCAAACTGTTACCGAACCTCACATCGGATGTGCAGATCAAAACTTAGCAGCTTGTACTTATACCAGATGGCACAGCAAACAACACAAAATTTCGATGAAGCCTTATGAATGTTGCTTAAAAAAATCAAAATTAATTTCCAAACACTGCATTTGCTTCCAGTGATTTTTCTACGGTCGATAGAAGCTAAAGATCGTTTCCTCGAACAAAAATTATACATAAATTCATCAAAATTCCTCAAACAAAACCTATATTTAAAGTAATAATTCAACATGATCTGCTTTCTGCGAAATGTAAATTCTGAGACCCGATGCACCAATACGTTAAGTCTAAGATGATTACAATTCTTTTCGATAAGAATCCACGGCTGATAATATTAATAATTAACAATGACGATAATATTCATAAGTCACATACGAATCAATTAAATTAAGAGGAAAGAATTGGAATGAAATTAAACAATAAAAAGGAGGCGAGAGAAGAGAAAACCTTTTTTCGCCGCCAGTGTAGTACTCTTGAGGATTATCGGAATCGGTATCGGAATCGGGTGCAGGGGGCCTGTTTAGATCGGCAAGTGTGCGAATCCCGCCGGCATGGCTGCTTGACGACGGCTTAACAGGATTCTTATTCTTGTCACGGGAGGCCATTGGTATTCTGTGATTAAGAATGAAAGATTTTTATTTTTATTTGTTGAAAGTACGAAAGATTAATAGAGAAGAACTGCAGAAAATGGATATGGAATGGAATCGATCCTCGTTTGGCTACATTTCAAATTGGCTACATTGGTATTATGCAAATTGGTACCTGAATTTGTCAATTATTCTCAAATTAGTACTGAAACTTTTTTCCTATCAAATTGGTACTTAAATTTGGAAAGAATTCTCATATTAGTACCTATACATAAAAAAATTCTTAATGCGACATTTCAACAATCAAACGAGTTATGATCTGTGTTATTTAATAATATCATTACTTTAATTGACTTATACTATATCAATAAATTAATTAGATGTTAAAATATCAAATCAATATAAATAAAAGTTTAAAATAAAAATGTTTAAATACCAATTTATGTTACGAGTGTTTTAAATTCAATTCAACAATAGTACTTCACTTTCATATATTCTCCTCATAGGTATTTTTTGGATTAACTACATTAAACATCCTCAAATTTTGGCTCAATTTCTAAATTGATCTTCAAGCTTAAAAAACGAGCTCCTCCTCTTTGTCTGCGTAAGCAGGAGAGTTAAATACCAACTCAAAAATCTGGCATGAAAATGATGATCAAATTATAAACTCATATATACTACCTATTATGAGATAACTTGAATCCGAGAGTTAAAAAAGAAATAATTCTCCTAAATTTTATCAACCCCGTCTATTTGTAATATATTAGTTCCAAGGTTTTCATGTCGTAGTTAACACCGTATTTAAAATTCCATCCGCATATTTTGAATCAAATTCAAATTGATATTTGCTGTCAGTAATTTCACATGATTATTTTATTGTCAATATTCGAGATTCGTGACTATCCCTCCAAACAGTCTTCGAATAAAGGTTCAAATTCCAATTGATATTTTAAGGCCCAAATGGAGGACTATAGTAATGGAAGGACCAAATTGATATAATAAAGGGAGCATTTTGATAATGTAAACAAATAAAGAAAAGTCAGAATGTAATTCCATTAAAAGCCATATGCAATTCAAAAGGACTAGTTAATTTCTCTGTCCGTCATATTCTGTCCCTCGACATATCCTACAAACCTAGAGGGGAAACAACAGTATGGGATATCCACCAAAACAATAGCCTGTTCTTTTTCATAATCAATACAAATTGCAATTACCTTATCTACAAAGTGCAAAGATAAGCCATTTTAGCTTAAGCGACGACCAACCGGAAAATAAGAAAGGCCGAATGCAAAAATTGAAACTCCAAGAAGAATGTTACAATTGATTGAGCCAATGTCTACTTTATCACCTTTGTCAATTTATTGGCCAAAACGACATGCACAACACGGTCGCTTCATTTCACTCTTTCCAATCCCAGCTGACCATTATGATCTGGTTTTGAATCAGACTCGCCATCATGAGCAATCAAACCTAAACTCAAATCCAATGTGCTTTCGTTCAGACCTTGTCCTACTATTTTATTGTCCTCCTGAGACAGATTTGAAATTAAGTCAAGTGTAGAGGCAAGACTTTGGAATAATAATAAAGAGAACTTTTCAATCATTCTTTATGGCACTAAACGGTACAAAAAATAGTATGGCCTTTCTTTCAGTGACATGAAAACAGAGCTGCGAAATGGCCCATCACACCGAGAGTCCCGGTCCCGAACCAGCACCCAAGGGAAAGAAATCAAAAGTTAGCAGATCACCTCATTTTGTTCCGGAGGCACGTCATTAATGTCATCAAAAGCATCATTCCTGGAAGTTGGCTCAGCTACACTGGGGTCGGTCTCACTTGTTTTAGTTTCATCCTCAACATTTCCTGCATCTTCCTTTTTCTGTTCTTCTAACACAGCAATCTGCATGCTCAAGCAATAAAAACAATCATACCTTATAACCCATAAACTTGACCGATGCCTAAAATTTTCTATAAAGAGCCATTTCACAAACCTCTGTGATTATCTAATCCAAAACATAACAAGAATACTAAACAAAAGTTTTAGTCATGCATGTTTCACATGAAAAAAGGCGGCAGAAACATTTTGCATCACGTCCATGAATGCAATTGCAACCTCGACTGTAAAATCTGGTGAATTTATTAAAGTCCGGGACAAGACTTCTAACACCAAATGAAATATGGATTTATCATATGCTATCTATCAGGCTACTATAATTTGCAGATAACTTCCACATTAGCTATGCAATACAAATTTGCAGATAAGCAAGCAATGAACATATTAAACCAAGCCCCATCTCAGAGACCGAGTAATCATAGAAAAGAAACACCAAGATCAGATCCCAACCAAAGAAAATCAAGAAAGTAAAAGAAGAATAAACAAAGATGATCACAGTCACAACCAAAGATCAAAGTTGAAGAAAACCCCAAAGAATATAGTACCGGGATGTATTTAAATTTCCGCCTGGGAGGCTCCTCGGGCTCCGCCACGCAACGGCCTTGGTAGAATTGTTTGCGTTGTTGTTTTGGCTATGGGATATTGGGGTCCACTTAAAAAGGAGGAGATGCGTACCGTTATTACCGTTAGATGTACTATTGATTCTATGGTGATTTTTAGAATGATTATTGTTGTTGCCGCGGCCGTTAGATGGGGAAACGTTCACCCATTTCTTCTTCCATCTCCTTACCGGCCCGTTGAAAACCGTGACATGTCCGTACCGAGTGGAGGATCGACCAAGTCAAGCTCCCACTCCTTCCATTAACTCGGTGTCGCGGCAGATAGGTGGTGAATTTGCCGAGACTCGCTCGAAAATTTAAAAAAACGGTAGTTTGGCTTCTTTGTTTCGTTTCCCATTCCCTCTTTTTTTTTCCTCCCTTTTTATATTTGAAAGTTTGGGTCGAGTTTGTGTGGGCAGTTCTAGATTGCAAGGGCGAATCAGAACCGTTGAATTTGTTAACTGTCTCCATGATTTGGCAATTTTAATGCTTTAATTGTGATGGTGGTTCTGTCAATGATTGGAATGATATTTTCTAGTCATTTTATACTTTCTATTATTTTCACTTTTCGGGAAAGAATTTAAATTCCCAAATATTACTATATTAATAACTACAGCTAATTTGGTAACAGTAAAATTCTTAATTCATTTAGGAAGACAATAATATCATTCTTACATGCAATTTTAACTATGAAAAAGTATTTTAAAAATAAATAAAATATTATTTTTTTAAAAAAATATTGATATAAATAAAAACAAACGTGTAAAAAAAATAAAAAAAAAATATTAAAAAATAAATTTTCAATTCAAATTAAAAATTATTTTCAATTTTATCTATTTAATATTATTGTAACTTTTTAAAAAAATTAAAAAGATCCTTAAATTATCGAAATGTGTGACTTTTACTATTGATATCAAACTACACCCATGGGCCAAACCTTTCATCCTTCTCCAATCATATTAAAATGACTATTAATATTTATTGATACATAGTATGAATATCTTCAATCTCATACATAATGTAGAAACAATATTATTTGAAATTGAAATATCTAAAAGAATATGCTATTACCTTGATAGTATATGTCTTGATAATATTTTTGTACATATTTACCATCACTGTTGAGAAAAACAATGTCGACATTTTAGTCCATTGCGGTAGAGGATGTCGAAATCTTAGTCGAACTCTAGCTACCATAATTGCTAGTTCGACCATGGGAGTACGGCTATATTTAGTTGGAAAAGTATGACATGGTTTTTACACATTAAACAATGGATTGTCTTTTTATTTAACGATGAAACTATATAAATTATAGTAATATATTGACAAAAGTTGCATGCAAAGTTAACTGCTAACAAAAACAATATATAATGAAATCCCAACAATTCTAAATCCAAAATGAACCACTTGGGCATACAACATCCCTTCTAACTTCATCTTTGCAAACAATCATTACTAGCAGAAATAGGCGGCCGATGGAATAGAACCGAACAGCAATTTTATATACAATTAGCGCCATTATTGACTACAACTGCAAACCAATACCAGCATTTGCATTCAAGGCGGCACTTAAATACCCAACCCTCAAACCAGCCTTATCAGCAACGATGTTCTCTCTGCAGCAGTAAGAAATCGTCGGTAATTCCTTAAACCCCACTGATCTTTTTGCCGCTGCTGCCACGGCATCGTTATTCTTCGGACTCTTGTTTCTACTCGAGATTTCATCGGTTGTACGCTTGTAAGCGGCGAACCATTTGGCCTGCATGTACCCATGTTGTCTCCATGGTGCCATCTTCATGTCCCTACTTTTCATCGATTTCCTCATTGCTTTGCACATCAGCCTCACGATCTGCTTCATTCGTTCCGGCCTTTCCACGAAAATAGTCGGAAACACTCCGATTAACGAAGCATAACTCGTCGTTGGTCGAGCTATTTCAAATTCTCCGGCGAGATTTACTTCGATGATATAACGAGTCCCATTAACATTCACGTCCACGTATTCATATCTCCCTGCTGGATGCCTCCCAAATTTATCCCACCGTGATTTGCACAGTCCTGTTTATAAAGTTAATAAGATTACATTTTGATCACTAAAATTTACTATAATCTCCCTAAAGAAACTTACCGGCATCAAATTATGATAAGTTGAAATATAGGGATTAAACTCTTGAGTATAATAGAGGGACTAAAGCCACAAATGGACCCATCTAAAACGAAGGAGAATCAAAGAAGCTTACCGGCATCAAAGCCATTGTCTCGCAAACCAGACATGAGCCGACGTTTAAAACCCTCAGAAGACATGTCCGAAACATTCCGACGAGAAAATTCTGCTACCTGTTCCAGGATCTTAAGCTTCTCCTTATCATCGTCTTCGTTCTTGACGACCAATCTCTTTAACGTGTCTTTTGTGTCCGACCAACAACCCTCTGAATCCGATGATCCATCGTTCTCGTTGTCCTTCTCTTGTGCAGTCTTTTATTAACCTCATGCTCATCGGATTCAAAGGCACAATCACTCTCGAGAAAAGAATTCACAAGATCGGAAAGATCACTCAAATCCTCCGGTGAGTGGTCGCTGCCGCTGCTCTCGCAGTGCCGTACTAGCGACACCGCACGCGCCGCTTCTTCGAAAGCCGCTGCTATCTTATAATTGAATCTCACTGGAATCCTCGCCATCCTCAATAGAAGCAATCCCTTTTTCCCTCTTTTTTAGGGAGAATGATTGAAGGAGACGGAGAGTGGTTTTATATTGGAATAAATGGAAAAGTTTCAGTTTTTGGCAATGGTGTCGTTATGTGCTCATTATAGTGTCACAAACAAGCCTGAAAAGAACAGTGGCGTATTTCCCAGAATATTCGGCCAATATTACACGAAAGTGGACGAATTAATGGAAATTAAATACATCATTTGTTGTATTTAACTATTTATAGGGAATTAGATACATTATCTCGGCTACGTGATTTGACGTGGTTCTTCAGTGTTTTCAATGAACCTCAAACGAACACGAGTCTAGATTCATTTTGAAACGCCACGCCTTAATTTACCAAGTTACCGAGTTTATTTACTGATGGCATTACTACGTGGAAAACAGACGCCGGTGAAAGTTCGATTTTTTGTAAGGTGCTGTGTTTAATCTGTTTTGGAATGAATGTCCAAGTTCAATGAACCTCAAAATGTGTAGGTGCAATGAATCTGATCTCACGTGATGATTATCCGTGAGATAATTTGATAAGAGAAAATAATCTCAGTGACCAAAAATGTCTTATAATATACGATTTTAACAAACTTTTTTTGGATTTTTTAAAATGACCAACTAAATCGCAATGCGATCGATAATTCGCAACGCGATCTCTGGTATCTTAAATCAATTTACAGATTCGCAACGCGATTCTGACTATCGCATTGCGATTTTCCAAATTCGCGTTGCGATTTTCCTAATTCGCAATGCGAATACGTAAATCGCAATGCGAATCTGACTATCGCAATGCGATTTACATAGCGCCATTTGTATTAACGCGTATTTTTTTTTCAAATTCCAAACACGAATATATTAATATATCGGAACACTGAACCGTCCACAGTATATCCCGTAATCGCAACTCATAACCTAAAACCCTAAATCACAACTCAGTTTCATCTCCATCTCTCACTCTCTAAGGCGACATCCGTCCCCAACTCCGACGAAATCAGTCCCCACGACGATAACAATCTCCATCTCCGACGAAATCATTCACGGTCAGAAATGGAATATCAACCAAATCAACCACCGAGGGTTAGTTTTTTAAATTATTTTTATTTTGAAATTTTTGCATTATTATTAGGTTTTTCATATTGAAATTGATGATAAGTTTACTGGTGTTTTCAATAATAGATTAACCATTTCACTTAGATTGCTTATTATATTCATTCGATTGCTGCCAATACTGCTAAACTGTTTAGTCTTTAACCATGTGAAGTTAGTATTTGTCTTTGTTTTATCTTTTGGTTGAAATAATGCAATCCATTCAAGTTTTTTTCAATTTTAGTATTTGAAACCGAGAATGACTATCGCAACGAGTGAATCGCAAAGCGAAAATGACTATCGCAATGCGAATTTGACTATCGCAACGAGAGAATCGCAATGCGATTTTCATTTCGCGTTGCGATTCTTGCGTTGCGGTAGTCATTTTCGTGTTGCGATTTTCATTTTCGTGTTGCGATTTAAAGTTTCAGAAACTATTCTTCTTCTGCAAATTGAAACTTGAATGAATTGCATTACTTCAACCAAAAAACAAATACTAAATTCACAGTGTTGCAAATTTAAGTTTGAAGAATAAACTACTACTCTTTATTGTTCATATCTTCACAGTGTAGTTTTTGGTATATCTAAATTGGTATGTTTATTGTTTTTGCAGAACTTTTATTCGGCTCAATTGACCTTAAGAAATAAAGTAAGCCTAGCCAAAACAATTGCATCGAAGCTTTCACCTGCACAAAGAAAAATATTTGAGGATACTTGCTTCGGGCCATGGCTGAAAGTACAAAATCCGGGTGGAGATGCTATGTTGACCCATCTGTTTCTTCAAACCATGACTAGCGATCTACCAGAGACTATACAACGTCGTGATGAAGAGATATGGTTTGATTTTCCACCGGCGTATACGTGTTTTGGGCGGGAGGAGTTTTGCTTAATCACCGGTCTACGCTTCGGACACGATGATGTAGATCGGTACACTAGACATATTACCCGCCTATCATGGTTTTCCCGGGTTTTTCCTGAGCAGTCAACGGAGAAGTCGAATTTACACGTGGAAGACTTGACGAGATTATTGAATAAGAAAGATGGTTTTACTCGGATGGATGACGTCGATGTTGTCCGAGTATGCCTTCTAATACTTTTGCAAGCCGGCTTTTTAGGCAGAGAGGCCCGACAACCTATTCCTAATGATCTAATTAAATTGGTAGAGGACCTAAATGCATGGAACTTGTTTCCGTGGGGTTCGTATCTATGGAGAGCTACATGGAATAAGTTGTCGTCTGCCTTTAATAATCGGAAAAGTTTGCGTGGTGATGGTTCCAAATACACTTTGTCAGGCTTTATTTGGGCCTTTAAGGTAATAATTTTTATATAATGTTTCCAAAATTATAATTAATTCTTTAACAATTACTAATTTTTGTTATTATATTGTTTGTAGATTTAGATATTTGAGGTCTTTCCCGCCATGCAGACATATGCATTAAAAACTTCTAATGATATTCCTAGGGC